TTATTGTTCTTTTCATATAGATTTTGATATCAGCTGGCATGATATACCTTTTTTCCCCTCTGCTATTTACTTTGAAGTTCTTGGAATATGTCTAGAATCTCTTAGTTTGTAGGACGTCTATTACTTGTAGTTATATATTTCACTTTCCTATTACTTGTTCTTCCATCTTCCATTGCTGGTACTATGAGTCATCGCTTAAGAGTCCAGAAATGATTTGGAGGCCAGGGCTTGGTATTTCTATCTAGCAAACAGTGGGGCTACTATCTCAAAGGTGCTTTTTTTCCTTGAGGAGTAAGAAGAAAACATTTGACTTCTCATCCAAGAAGTTTCATCAGTTGAGCTTCTTGGATGAGAAGTGAAACATTTCCTCATGGAAAAACAAAACCCAGTCCAGATACCTTTTTGAAAAAGCACCTTTGAGACAACTATGACCTGGATGACTGAGAATCTCCACGTACAGTGGGCTACCAGATAATTAAATAATATTTGAAATTGATTAATAATCTGCATTTGCAGTAGTTATAAATACAAATGAGAAATGCATATTTAAGGGTATCTCTTTAAGATTGTAGAGGTCATACTCTTTAGTTTAATTTTTTGTAGCATGGTAACATGCTAAAGCTAAAATAACTTCAAATTATATATCTCCTGCCAGGCCCCATAGATTAAAGTTATCTTTACTTATTAATTGGCTAAAATTGTAGTTGATGCACAGATGAGTTAAACTGTTTGAATCTTACAGACCCTATGTAACATACTCAGACATAAACACATACATGCACAAACACACTAAATGATACTTCGGTGATTTCATGTTAACCACAAGAGAAAAACTTAAAATGTTCGTGATGTAACAGAAACCAGAGGTGAGATCTATGTGTAGGCTTATTCAGAAACTCCCTGAATTACCTTTTATATACTGCACAGATCACAGAAAATTTAAACAAGAATAATTATATTCAAGCACTGTTTTCTTTCCCTCCCATGTACCAAGGTTTTCTACTTATTGTAAAGTAGTAGTTTTATTTATTCTGAATTCCAATGTAAATTTTAGGTTTAGGATTTAGTTTTATGATACTTACACTATATAGCTTGCTAAGTAATGAGTCTTCAGCACGTACTCTTTTACTTAAAAAAGTAGAAGAAATAAAACTCACAGTACCATAACTTTTAAAGTTCAACTAAATTCATGAGCCAAGCAGTAAGTGTTGTGTTGTGTTCATATTATCCACTTTATATTCTCTCCACTAAGAAAACTTTTCACAGTTGCTTGCCAGCTTTATATATTTTTAATGTATTTGTCTGACATAAAGTTTGTGGTTAAATTTTCAACTTTCACAGCAAATTAAAATGATAACGTACAACCATTTTGCAATAAAACATGGAAAACATTTGCCATTTGCTCTTAAATCATGTGTTGCTAGAAGGATTACAGACTCTGTATACATAAACTTTAAACAAGAAGATAAAAACTATGATACATTAATATAATGTAAGGAGGAATAAAGAAAAAGAAATCAAAGAAAAAGCAAAAATTACAAAAAAGGAAAAAGTTGAAGAAAAATAAAAATAAATAAAAAAGTGATGAAGAAGTAGCAACAGATATTCTTCATGGTAGCTATAAATACAAATATGTTTTAGCCTCTATCTCTAAAGTTACATCATATTATTCTACTTTCTATAGTCCTATGTAATCATCAAAACCATAAACCACAAGTTCACATTTTTCATTTTTATGTAAAAGTCCATAAGAGTCAGTCATCAATAAATATAGTATGTTTTCTCTAATCAAAGGAATTCAGCAAAATCTGTCAGTTTCACCAACCATTCCTCCATAATGGGATGTGTCAAATCTTTCTATCTCTGTGCATATAATAATCTTGCAAAAGTAATCATATATAGAGATACTCTTCCATGGCTTTTTCTAACTGTGGTTAAAAGGGTTGAAATTTATATTGTGTTATCATCTCAAAGACATTTTTTATATAAAAAAGTATTGTTGGTACATGACACCAGAGAAATTATATGAAATGCAATTCAAATGTATGTTGGAAATGTGAACAACATGAAAGGACATTTTATCATACTTGATAGACATATAAAAATGGATTCAAATACATATTTTGATACAGAATATTTTAATGATAAATAGCGAGTCAATATTCAGTTGAAGCCAGAATGTTGTTTTTTTTTGGTGTTAATGGATAACCAGTTAAGAGAAGTCATGGAAGATTATTTCAATATATAATTATTGTGGTTAGATTATTATATGCACAGAGATGGAAAGATTCAATAGTATTCGCTATGGTTGGTGAAGTTGACACATTTTACTGAAATGAATAAATTGACTTCTTTGATTTGAATAAGACAGACTCTGTTTTTGTCATATAAATCAGCCATTAATTCAGTTTTTGTCTGTTTCCATGTGTTTTTAACATCCTTTTAATCTTCGGGAGTTCAGATACCCACCTTGATAAAATGTGAGATCAAATGGCAAATGGTAAAACCCAAATCCATTAGATGTTAAGAAAGTTTGGATGGCATTCTAAGCTGAAATTTACTAGCTATGCTAAAGCAAAAAGGAACGTAGTTATTTAGAATTTGTTAGCCATATGCATGGAAATTGGTTTGCATGGTTTAATTAGAACTGGGTGTTGCAAACAAGGTTCTTGTGGTTTTTTTTTCTGTGCCAGTATTTTGAAAAGGCTAACCCAATTTTGATTGTTTATATACAATATACTGATATTAATTATTTGTTTATTGAAAGTCTAAGATAATTATTGACATAACAGTTGCCATGTGGATTGTTATGTATTTATTTCTAACAATATTAATTGAAACCTAGTAGTGGCTGAATGTTATGTCTTTTTCCCCCTTAAAAGGATGAAGGTTTAGGCTTTTCTAGATTTTTTGAGCTATTTGGAACCATAACTTTATGAATTTAATTACTGTAAATATTATTAATGTCCTAAAATATATTAACAGCAAAAGAGTTTGTGGTTCTACTTTGATTTCAATATGTCCAGCAAATAAACACCACAGTTGGCAGTATTTGACCTTTGGGGATGTATGGACAGATATGAGTGGGTCTGGGATGGGAATGCTTGGTTTGTGTGACATCCATGGGGCAAATGGGGCAGCAGATTTTCTGCCACATTAATATAATCCTAAATGTGGCCCAACCATGGGTTAGTAAGTTGTTTTTGTGAGATGATATGGTGACTTCTTAGCAACCATAAAAGTGGTCCTTGCTAGACATAAGGAATGCCAGTATGACTTCTCTGACATTCCAGAAGTGCTCCATTGGATGTTGGAACATCTGTACAAGAGGATTTTTGAGGAATGGAATATATGGAAAAAGGGAAGGATGCTAAGAACCATGTGAGTAAGGAGCACTTTGTATTCTCATTCTTGCCTTTCAAATGATGCTGTGAATCAATCAGAAAAGAGAATAGAAATATACCTCAGACATCAGCAAATGTGCAACCATATGTATATGTACAATCACTTGCTGAGCTTTTCTATTTATTCCTACAGGTCTTGTGCATATACAGTTTTATTTGTGTAAATGACATTCTCAAACAGAATGCAATCCTATTTCCATTTTTTTGATTTAGTCACTTGAGAATTTGATAGCGAAGATTAGGATGACAAAAAATTGGCTTTTCCTCAGTTACTTTGGCTTCAGCTTGCAATTGTTTGACAATATCTCCATAAATAAAGGTTTCAAGGCAAGGCACTATTTCCCCACTGCAGCTGAAATGAATCTATCCTTTTGTTTTCAAACAATAGTAGTTGATATTCTGATTCTTTCTTTGGTCCAGATCCAAGGTTAGAGGACAGGGTTAAACTCTTCCTATATACTGATGTTTAGTTTTATAGCTTGCTTCCATTTCTGCAGTGATTTTTCAGAGTAGTTGTACATGTTGCTGCTGTATACATAGCTAATTTCAAACTAAGGAACAAACATCTACTACAAATCTTTCACACTTTCCATGAACAGAAGAATTAAGTGATCATTGACTGCATTTCTCCAGGGAGAGAAGAAATTTTCCAAAAGATTTTTGAGAATGACACTTATCTTACCCAAAGGCACTACCAACAATAACTGTTGGCTTTCAGGCCATTATGTCGATCCAGATCTGTTTGGACTATGTGGCAGCCACATGAGAGGGGGGGCCCTCTCAAATTTATGCATCTTCCTGTGGCCAATGAAAAATTTCAGAAGACATCACTGAGCTGTCCTATCAGTAGGAAATAAATATATCAATCTTTCTGAACAGTTACCAAAATAAATAAAAGATTCTAAATATACTAGATACAACTTTATTTTCAAGGTTAAAATGAAATGCAGAGGTTATGAAATTTAGTTCTAGGTTTCCTTCTTTTTCATTTTTTTTCATTACTAATATATGTCAGATTTATAAACCAGACTTGCCCAGAAAACATTTCATTATATGCATGTATTGCTGCAGGAGAATCACCCTGTTGTTATCTCAATCTTCCTGCAAAAATGTAGCACCAAGTTATTCATGACATTGACTGAGAGTTTCTGTTAAAACTATACCTCAATCTATTGTGAAGGGACTATAAGCAAAATAATGATTTCCTCAGAAAATACAGGCCCTGATCTTAGGTGTAATAAAACAAGTGCTTCTACATTCCATGAATGGCTACCAAGTATTTCATCGCTGTTGAATTTTACTTTGGGCAAGATGGTTGTGACCAAATGTGGCCAAAGGTATTTTCTAGTCTGAGGCAAGTCAGCAAATGATACCCAGTTCTCTAGCTAAAGGCAGAATACCTAAGATCAGCTTTGTTACTTTGTCAACTGCTTCAGAAAATTACACTTCTCATTTGAATTTCTATTTTGCATTTGCATAAACTTAATATTATCCTATTGCCAGCTGTATTAACAATAGGTTCAATGAAAAATGAAACTAGAGGAAAAAAAGATGTTTAAAATATACATTTAATCTTGTCTTGTTTATATGTTCCAGATTCAGAATAATTTGTGGGCAGGAAATGCAGCTAGCAGTTCGGTGACTTCCTGCATGCTTCCACGGGATACTTCCTCTTGTATGACCCCTTATTCCCATTCTCCTCGGACAGATTCTGGGTACTCTGGCTTTTCAAATCATCAGAGCCAGTTCAGCCATGTTCCCCTTAATAACTTCTTTACTGACTCTTTACTTTCTGGAACTAATGGACATGCATTTGAAACCAAGCCAGAATTTGAACGGAGATCTTCCAGTATTGCAGTTTTACGAATGAAAGCCAAGGAACATACTGCTAATATTTCTTGGGCTATGTAATATAACAGAATCTCTTTCCATTTCAAGGTCAGACATAAAAAAAGCTCTTCTTCTCTACCACCATTCTTATTTCTATAATTAAAGGACTTGACAATAAGCTGCTGTGTGAAGAATTGCTAGTGATCAGGATGTACAAAGAAGCCTGCTTGACTAAATACCCAATATGCTATTTAGCATTTAAGCATCAATGTATATAAGGACTAAATGGAACCACCATGTGCCAATCTCCAAAAGACCTCTTAAAATAGCCAGATATGTTTTGTTGTATCAGTTGATGAAATGTAATTGTAAAATCTTCAAAAATAATAAACCTATTAAACAAGTATGTGTGTTACATATTGTTTAATGTCAGTGCAATATCAAGGTAGATAGCTTACCCATAAGTAGGGCTGACTGAGAAAAATGCATTTGTTATGACAAGGCTCTAAAGCAGTGCTTCTCAATCTTGGAGACTTGAAGATATATGGATTTCAACTCCCAGAATTCCCCAATCAGTATGGCTGGCTTGGGAATCCTGGGAGTTGAAGTCCACACAAGTTCAGATTGCCAAGGTTGAGAAAGACTGCTCTAAAGGAAACCTTTTAACAAGTGATATGTTGAATGAAATGTTTTCCCCTTCCTATTTAACAAACAGAAGTTGTGCGTTTATTTATTTGATAATGCATCCTTCTTAAAAACTATTTCCCATGAACATGATGAATTTTGCTTGAACTTTAGAAGCTGTCTGCTTTACATTGTACAAAATTTTAGGGTTGTTGGCATATAGTACAAAAATGACATTGGGGCAATTTCTTACCATTTCTTCAAATTTGCCATCTTGCTCTTTCAGGTGACCTAATTGTCTGCATCCCTGAAAAGCTGCAACTTATAATGTCAATTCCTTATTTGCTATAAAAAGTCTACATTTGCTGCATGACATTAAGAATGTTTGTGTACCACAACAGGTAAATAAAGCTAGATCTGCATGAAATGCTTCACATAAAACATATCTACATATAAAGGAAGTATATCAAACTACATGTGTATTTATAAATATGCATATGAACATAAAATATACAGCAAAATATTTAAATGAGAGGAATCTAGTATTTGGCCCCCTTACCAGACAGCCATGCTTTCTTTTAGGATATTCAGATTGCTTCCTCTATCTAACACCAAAGGCCCACAATGGCACAAACTATGCTCTGCAAATTATTTTTTTATATGATTCACCTTCATGCTGCTGCTTTTGTTTCATCTCCACTAAACAGATGAGGCCTTGACATGATCTACAATCAGTTTCCTTGATTCTGATGATGACCCACTTAAGTGTCAAACTCTGCCTAGCTCCTATTAGCCATGTTGTTTACTGCAGGCAGCCCTCCATGACCAGTTGGTCTGGGTTGAGAAGAAATGGGAAATGGCTTCCAAAGAGGCAGCTATACACACAATGCCTGATCAGGGCTTTCCAAAGTCCTTTCTGAATCATTAGCGAACTTTTGAAAGAGTATTACCTCTGTTTGTTTGTTTTCAAAAATATGGTTTCAGTGGAGATTTGAAAGAATCCTAGGCCTGGGCTTAAAAAGCAGGGCTACTTCTCTTGACAGGATACTAATCCTGTGCTTCACAAAAGGCTGATTTACAACCTAGAAAGAGGGTTGGTTCTGTCAGGTGGGTGTTGCTGGTTCCGTCACTATTGATTGGTTTAATGGTTTTGACTGCTTCTGCCAAGTACTGTGTGGCTGTAACTTCTTCTTAGTATTATTCTGGGGGTCACTACTTATGCCAGTTTATTATTCAGGGGCTCCTTTCAGAAGCTGTTAAACATGGGGATTTGCTACCATTCAGTTACTGCCTCCTGCTTCATCCTGCAATGTTCCTCCATCTGCAGCCTGTCATCCAGGCTATATTTAGACACAGATTTAGAGCTCTTTCAGAGGAATTTCCAAGCCTGTTTTTTTTTTTTAAAAATAGGCTAGTGCTGAGACATTGACCAGTTGACAGGTCACAGGCACAGAATACCTCTGATCTTTTTTCTGGGCAAATTGGCATGGTGCTGAATGCACCACTCCAAGTCTCTATCTCCACTTGTCCAAGTTAAGTTAGGAAGAGCAATTGGCCCTGGTTTCCTGCTGGCATATAATGGCTAGTAGGTGAGAAACAAAGCCAAATGAATGTATCAATTGCTTAATTCTAAGGCAGTACCTGCTGCTGCTGTTGATGCTATGTACATCTCAGGCAAATTTTATGCTGGCATACTTTTCTACCTGCTGAGGAATAATGGATAGCATTTTAACATAGCTGTCTTAGCCTTGACACTTAAATCATTTGGCTGTTGAGTTCCCCCTGCCACTCCTTGCAGTCCTCTCAATAAATTTTATTTTTGAATATTTCTTTAGATTGTGAATAGATTATGATTCTACTTCAGCTACACAAAATATACCCAGACAAAGTTAGGATTAACTTTGGGGAAAAGTTAGGATTAACAGGGGAAAAAAGAGAACATCTCGGTAATGACAAAGGGGAGACATCCATAGGAAAAAAGGAAGCGTGAGAGGCATGAGAAACAGGAGCAGAAGCGAAATTACATATTTATTGGCTTTGCTATTTAAGTGTGAACAGCAGACTGGGCAAAAGAAAGGAAGAAAAAGATTTAGATGCTTTTTAATACTGGAATTGTATTCTGCCCAGTTGGTCCAAACTACTGATCAAACACATCAAATATTATCACGGATATGTTTGCATTGAGTATCTTGTGAATAATGAGGAATTAGGAAGTGGTAGTGTTTATGGTAAACTTATCTACAACAGGCTTTTTTCTTAATAGGCCTTCTAAATGAGCATGTACTTCAATACCTAAAGATACAATGGATTTTTTTAAAAAATATCCATTGAATCTAGGTTCTGCTAATTTTAATGGTTATAGGAAGTTATGGTCAGTCTGATGAAAATACAGTTCTTCTACAGTTATTTAATGACAATCAGGAGAGATTGATAGTCTAAAATGATCTGCACATTCATAAGATGTTTGAGGACAGTTGTGTAAAACACTATAGTAAATGATTTTATGTTTCAATATAATATTTAATAGCAATCAAAACCGGATATTTTGATTATAACAATCCATTCACTTGTAATATGTTAACGACAGCTGAAAAGTACATTTTGAAGTAAACCTATAAATTATTTTGGTAGTATGAAAATGCAAAGTCCAAATGGGAATAGATACAAACGGTTTTTGAAAAATGTTCTGTTAACAGTGTAGACAGAAAAATTGCTCTAGTTTTCTTATGGGAAGAAATTTTTTTCCAACTATGGCAGGATACCTCCACCAAAGCCCCAACAGGATAAAAATATAAAAAAGGCAGAAAAAAGGAGTTCCCTAGACAGCTCTTATTTGCATTATGTGGATGATTATGTAATAAAATATGAGATATCCATGCATATTCATTGGCTTGTAAATATGACAGTCTATCATAGGTATTTTTTCTGAAATTCTTATTATTTAATTTTGTAAAAGTATATGACAATAGGAAAATAAACATACAAGAGGATATCTTTCTGACAAATATGTTGGTGAAGGATTTATCTTTAAGCAACATGGGTTGGTCTTAAGTACAATGACTGTTAATAGCTATTATCCAGTTGTGGGACATTTTTTGTTTTTTTAAATAAAATTAAGACAAAGAATTCCTATACCATTTTCAGTGGGATCTTGAAAACAGAAAATAAGCAGGTTTTAAAATTTTAATATACTTTCAAAAAACATTTCATGGATATTTATTTTGCTGTCAAGGATTGTGCCTGTCCTGTTATTGGGATAAGATAAGAAATTAGGAGAAACACAAAAATGAAATTATTAAATGATTCAGAAATTTCTTCTCAACCTTTCCTACTTTTACCAAGTATTACTCATTTCCTACTCTTTCCTCTCCTTTATATATTTATAACACTTCTAATTCAGTTTTGGTGGTTTGCTCATTTTTAAAGCTTCTGGATTTAATAGTGCACATAAACACCATGAATACTCTGTAGAAATTGTGTGTGTTTTCCATCTACAATACAGTAGTAGTGCAATACAGTCAGTAGTAACTGAGTAAAGTTTTGATTTCTCCCCATTCACATTTTAAAGAGACCTATTCCTTCTCTTTCCTGCCCTGACTCTAAATTCAAGGTAGTCTTTTTATGTATGCTTCTCATCACAAAGAGGTTTGCAGGTCACAACCCATGAAAGACAGTGCAGAGCAGAGGAATTTCATCCACTCTTATATTCCCTGCAGCCTCCTGTACCATGTCCAGACTCTGTTGTTTGTATGTGTGTGTATGGGGGGGGGGAGTGAGTCTTTGTGAGTGAAATAGGCTTTCTCAGCCCAGTTCATCATTCACTATTTACTAACCCTTTGGCTATATGTTTCATGCTTGGGAGCCATTCTTCAATTCTAAAGGCATCTTGATGAAGTGACTCAAAACTCTAAGGAATCCCCTTTTCTTCTGCAAGGCACGGTAAGAAAATGCAGGCAATGTTGCCAATTCCAGACTTTTACTAAGCTGAAAAATGAATTTGCAAAGTTGGAAGAAGATCTACAATGGCTCAAACTTGAGTTGAACTTTCAAACTGACTGCAGTCCATCTTAGTCAAGGTTTCTCTGTGTGGTATGTTGAGTTGCAGATGATTCAAGGCAAAACTCCCTCTGGCTTTTCAGTAGGAGCGAGACAAAACTGCTGCTCCTTTACAGAATGTCAGTGCCTCTGTTATACGAAGGAATTAAATTGTCAGCAAACATTCTGAAACTTCTGGTAGGAGAGGAAAAAAAAACAAGGCATGTGTATGTTGGGATGAAGGGAGGGAAGATGGAAGAGGGAGGGGGCATTGAAGAAAAATACTTTACATCTGGTGAATTGCTATCTGCTTTGATTTACTTCTCCTCCCTTTCCCCTGTCACATTCCGGACTCCTTCAGATGAACGAAATATTCACTTCTTTCAAAGAAACATTCTCCCAAGTTCAGAAAGGCAAATACA